AATTAATATAAATACAAAGAAAGCGATTTCGAAATGTTATCGATAACATGAAATCCTTGATTAATATTGCTAAATTATCGTTGGTATATAACAATAATTTGTCGATAAGCTGCACTTAATTTTTTTTTAGTAATCGATAACATATCGATACTTCACCTGACATTTAATATACCCAACTTATATGACATCAATCATCATATCATAATATAACGAATATAACAGTCAAGTTGAGCCTTGTCCATGTTGCTATAAAAGACCACGCCTTACAATCCCACCTTTACACCAACACAGCAAAAAACCCTCCACGTAAAAGTGTCATTAGAGCCGCTGCCTACAATTCAAGCTCACCTAAATAGCGTGCTTCTCGAGGGCCAATTAAAAAGTCAAATGCCTCGCGGCCTGAAAATGGAATTTTCTTGGCAGCTCCGCCAACATTTTGAGGTTGACCACACTCTCTGTGGTCGCTAAAGAGGACTCACCAAATTATTTTGTAAACAAAAAATGCAAAAAGCGAGAGACAACATTTATATACATATATATGTATGTATGTATATAAAGAGGGGATAATCTGTGAACAGAAATTTAATTTTTAAATTGAAATTAATTGAATAAATTGAAGCGCGTCTGGAATGGAAATCCCTTTGAGTCAATCAGGCGTGCCATGCGCTGCAGAAGCGTTTTAAATGAGTTTTATCTCATGGGCTTATGGGCATTTGAGATGTAGAGATATGTGTGTATGTGTACTGAGAATTATTCTGATTGCAAATGACTAAATTTAATGGATTCATTTAAGTTTTATTTCTATTGTTAGAATGTTGTATTTGACACGCATTAAGTCTTATTTTGCTAGCTATTATTCATGAGGGCTTATGAATATTCGATATGCAATAAACAATTGCTTATTAACATTCAAAACAGCTGCCCGTTAGTCAGCCAAGAGGTATTTGTATGTGTGTGTGTGTGTGAGTGTGAAGTGCTGTCACGCCTTGTTAAAAGCATAAGTGGCAAGGGTTTGTCCAGAACGGAGGTAGAGAATTGAATAACGCTATGCGCATAGGTAAATGCAAGAGAGTTGATAAATAATAAACAACTGGATGAGCACATTTCGTTTTCATATAAATACTTATCAAGCCGGATAGATATACCAAGCGGTTATATGGGACTCTATTAAAATGTATTAGTAATGTTGTTTAAAGTTAGATTTATACTAGATCTCAGTGAACTATTTATTTGACAACTAAATTAAGAGATTATATAATAAGAGGAATTCAACTTTTCAACATCATGTTAAATTACATGTCAAATGTATAATGAAGTTCCAAAGAATTGGTTCTTCAGTTGATTAACCAACTCTTACCTTTAGCTACAGAAACAACGATAAAGTGTTGCATGTAAGTGAGCTTGCCGTTAAGTAAAACTTGGCTCTCGATTGACCACACAATCATCATGTGTCGCAGCACTTATGTGTCCATAACACTAGGGCGGTTTCTCGTTCTCTTAGACATTTCCGCCTGGTAACCCAGCGCCATTGACCCTACAGCCGCTTGGGCTTGGTTCCATGCACTTGACTTTCGCACCACCGAGAGAGTGACCTTCCGAAAGTGAGGTGGGACGGGGTGAGTGCGGTTGCGTCGGGTTGGCATGTTTCAGTGACTAGCCCTAAATTCGATCTATGTATGTATGTAGTCAACTATGTATGTATGTATGTAGGCAACCCCTGTTTGGGGCTAGGCAAACATTTACGCAGTTTTTGTGACATCAGCGTCAACGGCATGATGAAGTGAGGGAGTCCATTAGAGTGGCACAAATCTGATACTCTGTTTTCTATCTCGCTCTCTCTCTCTCTCTCTCTCTTTCTTTCTCTTTTAGATATGCTGCCTACTATTGGAAGGTGTCGCGCGAAGGTCGTCGCGTCTATATGGACTACTACTATATGGAGAATGGCAAACAGATCTATGGCGTGCCCATTGGCGGCATTGGCGGCGGCAGCATTGGGCGTGGCTATGCTGGCGAATTTTGTCGCTTTCAAATGCGCCCGGGCATCTATGAGTACAATGTGGTGCAAGCCAATCAGTTTATAGTAACCATCAAGGATCACAAAGGCTGCACCATATTTCAGAGTTTGCTCTCCCGTTGCAGGTGAGTCGGTTACGTAGAGAACTACGCTTCAATCTAACTATTCTTTATCTAACTTAAAGTTGTACTTGCCAAAAATCTAACTTCATATATCTATCATTCAATTTGTCTATCACAAATATCAATCTATATTATATACTTTCATATACATAAATATCTTACTATATGTGTCCTGTACTTCAACTATTGTAAATATCTATCAATCTATATTATTTAAATGAAACTTGTTCCTTCACTTCCCACATTTACTTTCATATTTGGATATATTTATATATTTAGCTTTATCTAACATACAATTTGTCCATCACAAACATCTGTCAATCTGTGTTTACTAATCAATATTGAACTCTTAGTCAACCATTTCATAATCACAAATATTTGTGCTTAACAGATTTCTGTTTTATTTGTTCTGCTTTATTGCTTCGCATTTCTCTTGCTTTTATTTATTATATTTGTCTCTGGTTTTCAGCATTTCAGCTTTGTGCTGTTTATAATATGTTTTTCATTCTAAAAGTTGTTTGTGCTATCTAACAAACACGCAATAGTTGGGATATTTAGCTTCAATTTGAATTGTGATATTTAGCCGTGTTGTGTTCTGTGTAGCTCTAATCGAGCGACATTTATAACATGAAATGACATTAATTTCGCTCAGCTTCAATGCTCGTTCACATGATGCAAAAGAGAGTTGACGGGCTTTTTTCAAGATCTGACTGGGAGCTACAATGATTGCTGTTATTTTTTTCCTATATAAATAAAATTATATATTAAAAGCGTGTCAAATCACGTTAAACCATATATTGCACAGCTTTGAGAACAAGTCTTGTGGGTAAAACACTTTGATTTCCTTTACTATATATGTTCAATCCAAAAATTTAAATTGTAGACGAAATTCGAGTATATAAATGTTAATGTTAATGTTATATTTACATTAACAGTGTGAACCAAGATTAATGGCTTAACAGTAACAGCGCCAATAAATCCCTGAGGCTTAACAGTAGCAGGCTGTTACAGTTAACAGTGGGGATTATTAAAAATTTAATATGATTCAGCTCAAGTTTGAGCTTGAGTATATTTAGTCAATAGTCGTCTATTAATTTTAACGCACTTTATTATCTCCATGAAAAAGCTCGAAATGTTGAATCACAAAAGAGTTCTTAACTAACATTAATGTAAGCTATGTAAATAATCTGTTACCTCAATTAGCTCAACTAGTAATTGAAATTCATTATAAAATTGTATTCCAAGCGAGTTTTCAGTATTATCTACGTACACGTCAATATAAGTTATGCACTTATATTAACCTAACCTCCCTATTTCCAGTTGTAAAAACTATAAAATTACTTTATAATATTTAGTTTCTAGCTGTGTATATCACTCTGCCCTATATACAATGTTTACATCTCAATATATACTTCACAGTTTCTTTTACTCCTTACTTCTATATATTTTATAGTCTCTCCCATTTGTAATGTAACACTTTCCTAACCGAAACTCTTTTCGAAATATTTAAAACGAACACCTTTCTCCACACTCTAACGAATGCCCCCATAACGGATAAGTCTCCACTAATTAACATTCAAATGTCAACGAGTTTCAATTATAATTTCACAGCATAATATTTCGTTGTTTTTTTTCTCTCTCATTTTCGCTGCACCTGATAACAAACTTTAAACAAATAAAATACCACCATGATCACGAACACGGGGAAATGTGGAATAAACAAATAAAACGAAATGAAAATTGCCTCTCCATATGGCTTTTTGCTTTTACTTTTGCTTTTGCTTTCGGGCTGTCTGTCTGTGTTTGCTTTTGCTTCTGCGCGCGCGCGCGTGCGTCGATCAACAACATCAACAACAACAACAACAACAAACCATATGCCATCCATTTGGGAATGTGTAGCACCAAATCATTCAAGGCAAAGACTAAGACACCAAGCACCAACAACAACGATATTGATGCCTCGACCGATGAGGCCGAGGCACAGAGCACTAAATGTCAACTGCCCCATTGCAGCTGCAGCCGGAACCGACAGCCGCTGAGCACCTGGCACTCGAATATCGAGGACTCGCGGTGCAGCTATACGGGTCTGTATCCGCGCGCCTGGACCGAATACGATCTATCGCACTATGGCGTCCGCTTGGTCTGTCGCCAGATCTCTCCGGTTATACCGCACGACTACAAGGAGTCGAGTCTGCCGTGCGCCGTCTTCGTGTGGTCAGTCCAAAACGTTTGCGATCAGGAGCGCAAGGTCTCCATCACGTTCACCTTCAAGAACGGCACGGGCAACAAGAAGCAGGATGCGGAGGGCAATCCCGAATCGCAGCTCATCGCCGAGGGCAGTGCCAAGGGCGTGGCCATTAGGCAAACAATTGGCGATATGCCCTGCAGCTATAATCTCGCCTGTCGCGTGCTGCCCGAGATCAGCATCACGCGCTGTCCGCAGTTCGATCCGGCTGGCAGCGGCGAGCAGCTGTGGGCCCAGCTCAAGGAGTACGGACAGCTTAACGAGCAGCCCACGTCGGAGACGCTTAAAAGTGGGTTCGATTGAGATCTAATGAAGTCTATAGCGATCTAAATCTTTCCTTTTCTCATTCACAGCCAAGGACATAGGCGTCGCTGTCTGCGCCCAGTTGGCCCTCAAGCCGCAGGCATCGCATGAGCTGGAATTCGTGCTGGCCTGGGACATGCCCAAGATTCAGTTTCCACGCAAACTGCAAACCCACACGCGCTACTACACCAAATACTTCGATGACAGCGGCGAGTGCGGACCCAGGATATGCGAATATGCATTGAAGCAGTACGCCAGCTGGGAGCGACTTATCGATGCCTGGCAGCGACCCATTCTCAATGATGAGTGAGTCCGCAGCACACAGCATATACAATATATTCCCAGCTAATCTCTGTCCCATATGCATAGGGGCCTGCCTGATTGGTACAAGTGCGCCATATTCAATCAGCTCTACTACATCTCGGACGGCGGCACAATCTGGCTGAAGTGCGACTCTTCGCTGGGCAACCAGCTGGCTTTCGATGATCCGCGCTTGGCCTACGGCCGCTTCGGCTATCTGGAGGGTCACGAGTACAGAATGTACAATACGTACGATGTGCACTTCTATGCCTCGCCCGCTTTGGCCCATCTCTGGCCCAATTTGCAAGTCAGTTTGCAGTACGACTTCAAGGATGCAATTGGCGCCGAGCTGAATGATACACGGAAAATGTTATACGACGGAAAAGTGATGCCGCGCAAGATCAAGAACTGTGTGCCACACGATCTGGGCGATCCCGATGAGGGTAAGTAGTTGTAGTTGGGCTACGCTAAATCAGTTGCCTAATTGAAATACTCTTTTACTTATAGAGCCCTTCACGCTCATCAACTGCTACAACATCCACGATGTCAATGACTGGAAGGATCTCAATACAAAGTTCGTGCTACAGGTTTACAGGGACTACTATGTGCTCAACGAGCTGGCCCAGGCGCAGGCGGACAATGCCAGCAAATTCAGCTCCATTGAGTTCATAGACAAAGAGAGCCTCTACGAGCAGTACAGCCAGGACAACAATCGCAAGAGTTCGGCAGATGGCAAACAGCGTAGGCGGAAATTCCACTATATAAAATAACAAATATATATATATATAATCTATGTAATTCCTCAACTTTACAGAGAATCGCAAATCTGCTTCCATGTACATCAATGAAACGAATGGCAAGGTTTATCTCATGGATGCCATGGTCTATCTGAAGTCCATGTATGGCGCCTGCAAGGCCATCATGGAGCGCACCATTGAGTATGATAAGGATAATGATGGCCTCATTGAGAACACCAAAATGCCCGATCAAACCTACGATGCATGGGTTATGGATGGACCCAGTGCCTATTGCTCCGGCCTCTGGCTGGCGGCACTGCAGGCCATGTCTGTTATGGCCACGCTTTTGGATCAGCCGAACGACTGTTTGCGCTACCAGGACATATTGGAGAAGGGCAAACGGTCGCTGGAGGAGAAGCTATGGAACGGCAGCTACTATCGCTTCGATTTGTCGCACAATCATCGCGATACGATCATGGCCGATCAGCTGTGCGGCCATTGGTATTTGAAGTCGTGCGGCTTTGACTATGAGATCTACCCGAAGGAGAATGTGCGCACCGCCTTGAAACGCATTTACGACAACAATGTGATGGGCTTTCACGATGGCAACATTGGCGCCGCCAATGGCTTCATAGCAAACGCCAGTGAGCCGTCGAAGCCGGGCCATGTGGACAACAGCACCATTCAGGCCGAGGAGGTGTGGCCAGGCGTTGTCTACGCCCTGGCCGCAACCATGATACAGGAGGGCATGTTCGACGAGGCCTTCCAGACAGCCGGCGGCATGTACAAGACCTTGTCTCAACGCATCGGCATGAACTTTGAAACACCAGAGGCGCTCTATGGCGAGAAACGCTATCGTTCCATTGGCTATATGCGGCCCCTGAGCATTTGGTCCATGCAGGTGGCCTGGGAGCGACGCCGTGCGCTACGCGACTAAGTCATAACAGTACAATCTATATGATCTATAAGTTGAGTTATCTATGTTTATATATGTATGTACGCGCTACCAAACCAAAGATATTTCCTAAGCTAACACACAAAGGTTCTTAGCTTTTAGTTATTCTGTTTAGCGGTCGCAACGTTACGAGAAAAATGGTATTCAAATGTTTCAACAATTAGCTTTATATATTTATGTATTTGTTAAAAACTAAGTTCAATCCTTTACCTGTTCTCAATGTCTTCTCTAGCCACTAAGTTTATGCAAAACACACACTCGCTAAGATCTATCAAGGGGCACCGGCTTAAGCGCTCTGCTCTGTTCCAAGTACAATTATTGAATGGTATTCAAAGAAGCACAAAACGTATTTAAATGTTAGCTAAGCCAGTTGTTTACAAATTTACAAATATTCTCCTGGCTCCATTAATTATTATTATGTATACATATATGTATTTATGTCTTTACAAATTAAGAGAATTATTCAAATATTTCAAATGTTGCTGTCGAAAATAAAATTCATGAAAGAAATCT